TTTCTTAATTTGAATTGCATGTTTTTTCGTATTTGTATATATATATTGGAGTTTTGGTCTTTAAATGCCGTAAACACCCCCATCCCTTTATTTGTTCACCTTTGCCAACCCAAAGCCCTAGGTCGCCTTCCTGTCGACATTCAATTAGGTTTATCGCCAAGAACATCTAAGCCTTTGTTCAGTGTGTCTAATCATATTTGTTTTCAATTCATTATTATATAGGTAATATATGATTATAGTAAGTATAAATATATATTAATTATTATGAATTATTATGAATTATAGTATTAATGTGACATTTATTGTGTGTTAGAATTGATAAAATCTTCCGTTAACCCCAGCGATATTCTGTAAACAGAGAACTATCTACTTCGACAATAGATCTCTGCTTTGAATGGGCGTCATACCCAACAATTACGATATTGTTTGGAGAGAGAGAGGGGAGAAGAGAGAGAGACAGAGAGAGAGAGAGAGATAGAGATAGAGAGGGGTGATTTCGGGACTAACATATGGTTCAATTTTATCCCAAAACAATTGCTTGCGCGTAGGGGTCTTTAGCAGAGAGAGGAAACCCTATTCCTTGTCACGTACAACCGGGGAATCGAAAACACACGATAACCATTTGACCAGCCACCCCACCCCCACACCCTATTTAGAATGTGAGTCTAATCCGTTTTACATCTTTCATCCACCTAAAATAAATACACATTTTCGATTTGATTAAATGGACGCTGAATAAATACTTTTCAAAGGTATACGTAGTGTGTTGGGGGTTTGGATGGCCAAATGGTTAGCACGTGCGCGCTGTCTCATAAGGTCTGTCATTGAGTCAACTGGCATGGTTTCAATACATTGGTTGTACGTGACAAGGAGTAGGATCGCCTGTTCAACCTCGCGGTATTTTTCTGGTCCTTCGGTTTCCACCCACTGCTAAAGACCCTACGCGCAACCGAATTATTGAAATAAAATTGAACCATATGTTTGTCCCGAAATGACATAGTTTGTGTCGAGTGGACGTTAAACCCCATTTCTCTCTCTCGTACGTAGTATTTTGGCTAAATTCGTTGATTTAGGAATAAAATGTCGGTCAATCAGCTTTTTGTGTGTTATCAAGCGGAGCTAACATCGTAACTTTCGCATGGCTTAGCGACTGCGTGGACATATACGTTTTGGCACAGCGTCGAGTCTAATAACTTTTGAATTCCGCAGTGGCTCTCTTAAAAGTAGTAGTAGTAGTAGTAGTAGTAGTAATACTAGTAGTAATACTAGAAATAAGAAAAAGTAGTAGTACTAGTAGTAGTACTAGTAGTAGTAGTAATACTAGAAGTAGTAGTAGTAGTAGTAGTAATACTAGAAATAAGAAATAGTAGTAGTAGTAGTAGTAGTAGTAGTAGTAGTAGTTGTAGTAATACTAGTAGTAATACTAGAAATAGTAGTAGTGGTAGTAGTAGTAGTAGTAGTAGTAGTAGTAGTAGTAGTAGTAGTTGTAGTAATACTAGTAGTAATACTAGTAGTAATACTAGAAATAGTAGTAGTGGTAGTAGTAGTAGTAGTAGTAGTAGTAGTAGTAGTAGTAGTAGTTGTAGTAATACTAGTAGTAATACTAGAAATAGTAGTAGTACTAGTAGTATTAGTAGTAGTAGTAGTAGTAGTTGTAGTAATACTAGTAGTAATACTAGAAATAGTAGTAGTGGTAGTAGTAGTAGTAGTAGTAGTAGTAGTAGTAGTAGTAGTAGTAGTAGTAACAGTACAGTTGTAGCAGCAGCAGCAGCAGCAGTAGTAGTAGTAGTAGTAGTAGTAGTAGTAGTAGTTATTCCCTTTTTTTCGACCTTGCATTAGATCTAAATATAACGTTGCGTATAAAAAAAAAATGAAAATAAAGTCGGTCACGCGGAAATCAGACCAGTTATCTGATGATCTCGCTTACGAACATGGACGTAACAGACTTTAGACATTATAATTAGTCATTGCTTAATGTCATTTTTGAAATATTTTCCACGTTACAGGCGCCTGTGGGTTGGAGCTGACTTGCCAAAAAACTCCATTTCATTGATTCATTCATTTTCGACTTTGAATTGAACATCTACATATAATTTTAAAATAATGTACCGAACTTTTCCCCGCTGAACATCTGATCAATTACATGGTCACGGGATCGATGCCATAGAAATGGCAATATCGTCCGCTAGTTTCACAATGAGTCATTCTTTTAAAATATTACATTTGTTTAAAGTTTGAGCTTTTCCTTTAACGCAGTCATTCTCAACCAAGATCTTCTACGTGTGCCGTGAAATTTTGAACGGCACAGTCAGAAAATGTGAAAAAAACCCATAAGTTTATAGCTGTGTTTTTCTTTATTTAGTTTGCCATATTATATGTGTCTATGAGTAGTCTGTGTCTACGGTTGTATTCCGTCTGACTTGCCATGTTTTTATTTTGCAAAATTCAAATATTTTTCATATATAATATCTAGCCAGATATGCCGTTATTGTTTCATGTGTTCAACCGTCTTCATTAGCCCAGCATAGGAGCAGAACAGTAGGACGTTAAACCCCATTTCATTTCATTTCATGTGTTCAAAGATGTGCCGCGAGAATTACTGTTTTAACGTTAGTGGGATCTGTCCTTAAAGACTATACCCCTTTAACGATTGTGTTATAAATCATGTGTGAACGGGCAATATAAAAACATAGCAATTAGATATACATCTGCCCACCGCGATTGATAAACAACACGGGTGGGGGATCACATTTTGGTTTGGCCGCATTCTCTTCAAGAAACAGGTCATCGACAGTCGCTCGTCGAGAACAAGAATGAAAATTATTTTATTTATTATGTTTTGTTTGGTGAACTCAGCTAAGGGTAAGTTTAATGTTTCATTTCATTTTTATTAAAAAATTTTTTTTAATGAATCTACATTAGACATGTTGAAAATTTAAAGGACCAGAAATTACTTCATTCTGAGCCAAATTATCACTGTTTGTAGTTTTGACAAGATGTGTGCATTGTGGTAACCAGTTCACTGGTATATTCGAGACTTAGCCTCGCTTTCCCATTTTTAAATTAGATTTTTAAATGGAAATGAAATGAAATGAAATGGGGTTTAACGTCCTACTGTTCAATCCCCTAGCAGTTGGAATTCGCTATAACGGTAGGCCGTAGTACCGCTGTCCAGGCAAAATTTCCCTCATAGCACACTGTATGGCGTATGCCCGTTTTCATTGGCCCAGTCGGAGCAGAACAGTAGGACGTTAAACCTCATTTCATTTCATTTGATTTCCATCAGCCCGATCCATTCAGAAAAGTGAGTACTAACAGTACTTAGAAAAGCCAAAGGCCGAGGACACAAAGTTTGCAAATTGTGTTCCAGTGGGTCCTATTGCCGGGGATGGTTCGTTTTGTCTGTTTCCGTTAACGACAAGGCCAGGTTAAAGAATCAAGTAGATGTGCGGGGTGGGGGGAGGGTTTGGGTGGAGTGGGCACTGGACTGCAGCGGGACCCCAAATTTGGGCACCATAAATGAATATGTCATATTATGTTGCGGTAGCGTTTAACAGTGGGGGTGGGGCGTGCACTTTTCACAGCTTACAGTTCGGCAACTAAGGGGCATGCACTGGAATATGCCTCCTTTTCACTATTGATGCAAGGACCACAATGACAGCTTATTCCGGACACTGTCCACGTCATTGGTGAAACCTTATATTACAGGTTGTGATGAGACGATTGAAGCTGAGAATGGAACAATTACATCTCCAAACTACCCGGATCAGTATCCAAACGCTGCAAGCTGCACCTATACCATATTAGTACCTGAAGGAATGACTGTTCTGCTAACATTTACTGCTTTCGATGTAAGTTTTTCTTACTCTCTTACTCCGCTCCTTCCGCAAACACCGGTTAACATTAACTGCTTTAGATGTAGGTTTCTATCACTCTCCTACCCCGCTCCTTCCGCAAACACCGGTTAACATTTCTGCTTTAGATGTAAATTTCCATCACTCCAATAACCCGCTCCTTCTGCAAACGAAATAAAAATGTTTTAAACACCGGTTAACATTTACTGCTTTAGATGTAAGTTTCTATCACTCCCTTACCTCTCTCCTTCTGCAAACGAAATAAAAATGTTTCAAACACCGGTCAACATTTACTGCTTCGATGTAAGTTTCTACCACTCCCTTTCCTTCCTCCTTCCGCAAACGAAACAAACACCGAGGCAGCGATTGATTAAAGATGTATTATTTAATGGCTAAATCTGCCAATTTCGCTTTTTGGGGGGGGGGGAGTCTAGCTTATATGCATTTTTATTCAAACATTTAGTAACATAACAAGCTATTATCAACCCCGTAAACCATCGGATGGCTCTGATTTTATGTGGATTAGAACACAGCGGTCATATAATTGTTTAAAGATACATTATGGGAGATTAGATATGGCAGTTTTCACTATAAAACGAAATTTTGAACCATACAAAAAAACGAAAAAAAAACCGAAATAGGATCTGTGTTTTAATTAGATAACCAATACTATCTATAACTTATCTGAATTATGCATATCATTTCCAGAATATGCCTTTGGTAAATATCAATAAATTGAATTAGTTAAACATACATTATGCAGGAGCTAAATTTTCCAATTGCAGGTATTTCTTTAGGCCTGAAATGTTATCTAAATTATTAATTAGACATTAATTAACTGATCCAAACCATAATCAACTCTCGATGTCATCGCTAGCCTGTGATATTTACTGGATTATAACCGACTTTAGTAATTATCATTGAGGCTAGGCCCAAAATTCAATCGCGCTATATTCTCGGTTCACAGTGGATCAATTTGACAGAAATTTTGAGAACATTCCCTTTACATTATCTCGCTTCTAACTATTAAAGTGAGATCTGTCAGCTCTTTATCTAATCTCCCATACTGTATCTTTAAATTGAATTTTCTTGTAGATTGAACCTGATAGCCATTGCTCTTGGGATTTCATAACTATAAATGGTGGAGATCGCGTATGTGGAGAGTCTATCCCGCCTCCTATGTATGGTGATTCCAATGTTACGATTATTTATTTTGAATCTGATGGAAATGTAAGAAGGGATGGGTTTTCTTTAACGTTCACAAGTCAAGTTTACGGTGAGTATGTAAAGATATTGTTTAAGGAACGATTGCAAGAAAATGTCTGCTCGTAGTTTGGTTACTGCCCGATCCCATGTGTTTAACGCCAGGAGTGAATCCACGAGATTGAGACGGCGCCTCTATCTCCAAGCCACATACGCTCACACCAGGGGTCTTTCCGGTGCCCGGAGTAAACCCACAAGGTTGAGACGGCGCCCATATCCCCAAGCCACGTACGCTCACACCAGGGATCGAAACCACAACCGCAACCCAGAGGTCTATTTCCCTAACAATGTTTCTGCATTTACTGAACTTGTGTGTAATTACAATAGTGACGGTTACGGTACCGGGCATCAAAACATTCTCAGACTTAAACATACATTATGCAAGAGCTAAATCTGTCTATTGCAGGTCTTTCTTTAGGCCTGAAATGTTATCTAAATTATTCATTAGACATTAATTAACCTATCCAGACTATAATCAACTTTAGATGGCATCGCTAGCCTGCGATCTTTAGTGAGCCGATTTACTGTATAACTTTTCTTCAAGATTTAACGATTAAATGGATAATCGAGACTATGTTGTTTATCGTACTGACTTTAGTAATGATGATCAAGGCTAGGCAGAAATTCAATCGCTTTGTTCTCGGTTCAATTATGGCCATTATTTAAATACAGTAATATATTATAATGATGTAGTATGCATGGTGACCCCATCTATACGGGGGGTTGGATGGCTGAATGGTTAGCGTGCGCACGCTGTATCATAAAGTCTGTCATTGAGTCGACTGGCATGGTTTCGAATCCCCAGTTGTACGTGACAAGGAGCAGGGTCGCCTGTCCAACCTCGTGGGTTTTCTCCGGGTCCTCCGGTTTCCTCTCACTGCTAAAGACCCCTATGCACAAGCGAATTATTGAAATAAAATTGAACCATGTGTTAGTCCCGAAATAACCTAGTTTGTGTCGAGTGGACGTTAAACCCCATTCCTCTCTCTCTCTCTCTCTCTCTCTCGCGCGGAGTTGCGTTTCTAATCCGCAACGTTTAAAAATAGAACCCATCTATACGATACATGTACACACAAAAATGTAACTATGCATGTACTAAACTGTAAATACATACTTCTGGAAGAACAATTTGCTTACTTTATTTGTGTGGCGTTTCGAAGAGTGTTGCATGAGTTAAGTCATTGATTTTCTACCAGTGTGCCGCGAGATCTTCTTAAGTGTGCTGCTAAATTTTGCGCCCCCCCCCCTCCGCTCTTACCTATAAATATTAGATATTTTACGCCCTCATTCAAAATCAGCTGTCATCCCACACCAAGACCGTTTAAAATATTTTAATTCAATATGTCCAACTTTTTCTAATTTCCTCATTATAAGTATACCGACATCTATTTAATAACTGTTTTATACGCAACTGTACCAAACAACTCCCGAGCCACGGTGGCTAAGTGGGTAAGACGTTCACTCGCTATCCTGGAGGTCGCGTGTTCGATCTCAGCATTGGCTGGGGAAGTTCATCGGAATTTTCCGGCGTGGTTTCCCCTTTGTCAGTAGTGCAGAATGGAGGCCCTACGTAGTCATTCAGATAGGACAAAAAACCGAGGTCCCATGTATACATTGGCGTGCACGTGAAAGATCCCTTTGGTAGTTGGATTTCGATATCAGATTAGGTCATAGTGCTGCTGTCCGAGCACAATTTTCCTCATAGCACACTGCATTGCGTATGCCCATCTTCATTATCCCAGTCGGAGCAGAACAGTAGGACGTTAAACCCCATTTCATTCCATTTTTATTTCATTTCAGCGGACAATTTAACCATACCAGACAATAATTTAACCATACCCGACACCACAACGCCAGCTGGTGAGTATTTTTATAGATTATATTTCCTGAAACTGTTTTATCACAGTTATTAGCAGTGAATTTTCGCTAGGCCGCGACAATCGCTAATAAAGATGACATCGATGCGGCTTAATGAGCCACAAATATTAACTTTTTTCCTCCGACAAATTAAAGTCTAAAACATTTTTTTTATGCATTAGAAAAATAAATAAAGTATTTGTAGGTAAAAAGTATTTCCTATTTTAGTGTATATGGGTATTAAAATGAGTAAAAGGCGCCATTCTGCTCGAATCAATAACGTCTTATGTAAACAATGCACGCCCCATTGACCCAAGGATTGACGCCGCGTGATGTGACGTCACGTGTTGAAAGCAGTCATCTTTTACAGAGATATTAGACTCGTAATCCTCTGTGAAACAGATTGCGTTACTGTACTATGTCTTAACTGTTTTATGTCGGATACGGTCCTGGACATATGACGTCATATGTGGATTGCGTGTTAGGGTTAGGGTTAGAGTTAGGCTTGGTCCAGGGTTAGGGTAAGGGTTGGGGATAGTCCTGTTTACATCTGAAGACTGTTAGGGTTAGGGTTAGAGTTAGGCTTGGTCCAGGGTTAGGGTAAGGGTTGGGGATAGTCCTGTTTACATCTGAAGACTTTGACGAAATCTGCAGGTCCTAAAGTCGATTCGACACAAACTAGGTCATTGCGGGACTAACATATGGTTCAATTTTATTTCACTAATTCACTTGCGCGTAGTGGTCATTAGCAGTTTGAGGAAACCGGAGGACCCGGAGAAAACCTACAAGGTTGAACAGGCGATCCTACTATTTGTCACATACAACCTTCGTGTCGAAACCACGCCCGTTGGCTAAATGACAGACCTTGTGATTAAACGCGTACGCGCTAGCCATTCGGTCATCCAACCCCCCGTGTAACATCACACCTTTATTTCAGACTGTAATGTAGATATTGAAGCTGAAAGTGGGCTTATAGCATCTCCTAACTACCCAAACCACTACCCAAATGAAGCATCATGCACGTATACAATAACAGCCCCACAGGGAAAGACAATTCTCTTAAATTTTACATTTTTTGAGGTAAGTAATTGGCTAAATCTATTTGTTAAGGATGGCTCAATTTTTGTTAATGTCGCTGATTTGTATTGCCGGCGAATGAAACGAATCAGCTCCATCATTATGTCACCGACCCGCACCGTGTTCCGCCAAGAGATGTTCTGTGTTCGTTTATTTGTTCTGACATAACCAATCTCGTGCTACCGCCATGTTCTGTCATAAGTAAAACTCTGTTACCGCCATGTTCTGACATAACTAAGCTCGTGTTACCGCCATGTTCTGACATAACTAAAACTCTGTTGCCGCCATGTTCTGACATAACTAACCTCGTGTTACCGCCATGTTCTGACATAATTAAAACTCTGTTACCGCCATGTTCTGACATAACTAAACTCGTGTTTCCGCCATGTTCTGAAATCACTTACCTCTTGTTACCGCAATGTACTAATACCCCCCCCCCACCCGTTGTGACACCATGTTCTGACGTAACGAAACTCCTGTTACCGTTGTTCTGACATAATTAACCTCATGGTACTGTTGTTCTCCGTGTTCTGACATACCGTATGTTATCTTTCCGTCAAAATCTACCCCCCTACATTATTAGAATGTTCTGACACAACTAACCTCATATTACCACACGGTTCTAACATTACTAACCCCCTGTTACCACCCTGTTCCGACTTACCTAACTTCCTGTTACCGCCCTGTACTGACTTAACTAACTTCCTGTTACCACCCTGTTCTGACTTAACTAACCTCATGTTACCACAAGGTTTTAACATAACTAACCCCCCTGTTATCACCCTGTTCTGACTTATATAACTGCCTGTTACCGCCATCTTCTGACTTACCTAACGTCCTGTTACCGCCCTTTTCTGACGTACCTAACTTCCTGTTACCACCCTGTTCTGACTTACCTAACTTCCTGTTACCGCCCCGTTCGGACGTACCTAGCTTCATGTTACCACCCTGTTCTGACATACCTAACTTCCTGTTACCACCATGATCTGACTTACCTAACTGCCTGTTACCGCCATGTTCTGACTTACCTAACTTCCTGTTACCGCCCTTTTCTGACTTAACTAACCTTGCATTTCTCGCTAAAATATCGAATTTCGCACGGTTTAATCCACGCTTCTATATACTCAGATTGATTATTTAACATTTGGGTAAGAAAATAAAATCAACATACCAACTCCAGATAATATCCCGGTTTAGATTCAATTGGTTTTTAGAAAAAAAAAGCCTATCAATAAATTTTCGCGGGCAGCAAAATTTATTGCATGGCGATCAGCATAGATCGATGAAATTTCAATTCAACATATCTTTGTAAATCAATTTCCACAATATTGTAGTTTGCAAGTGATCCTATAGCGTTAGTGATCCTATAGCGTTAATAGTGATCCAACAGCGTTAATAGTGATCCAACAGCGTTAATAGTGATCCTATAGCGAATCAACCTCCACAATATTGTAGTTTGCAAGTGACCCTATAACGTTAGTGATCATATAGCGTTAATAGTCACCCTATAGCGTTAGTGATCCTATAGCGTTAATTAGATTGTAACTCGTGTTTTTAATTTCGAATATTATAAACAATATTGAGTTGGAGGTTTAAGATATAATTATAAATCGTTTTTCAGGTAGAACAAAGTCTCGCGGGATGTGGGTATGACTATGTGATGATAGACAGAGCGACACATTGTGGTTTCGTTGCTCCTGCTCCGGTTACAACCAGTTCAAATACTCTGACCGTTGTTTTTGTCTCTGATGTATCACAAAGTGAAAGAGGATTTTCGGCTTCTTTTACAACCCATGTTATAATAGGTTAGTCGCTGGTGGTGGTGGTGGTGGTGGTGGTGTGTGTGTGTGTGTGTGTGAGGGGGGGGGGGTTATAATGCCATTTACTAGACAGTTGAATTTCAGCCTGTTTTACATCAAAAATTCAAATTAGCAAGGAGTTTGCCTTTAGTGCAGGACATTATGCAAACGAGACGATCACGTTTTTTTTGTTTAGTGCACGGCATTAAACACACGAGAGGGCCACGGTATTTTTTGTTATGTCCACGAGAGAACCATGATGTTTTGTACTATGCACGTGGGAGGGCCACAGTGTTTCTAGTTAGGTGCACGGCATTAAGCATGTGGGAGGGCCATAGTGTTTCTAGTTAGGTGCACGGCATTAAGCACGTGGGATGGCCACGGTGTTTGTAGTTAGGTGCACGACATTAAGCATGTGGGAGGGCCACGGTGTTGGTAGTTAGGTGCATGGCTTTGAGCACACGGGATGATCACGGCGCGTTTTGTTAGGTGGACGGCATTAAGCACGTGGGAGGGCCGCGGGTTTTGGTCCTATACTAACAAACAGGCGAAGTTTTTGACATGAGATACGAAATAAATATTTGCCCCACGCTGGACAAACCTGGGAACTTTCTCGGCCAACACCGGGATCGAACCCTTGGCCGCCTGGTTGTTAGCTAGTGCCCGACTCACTGAACCAACGTGGCAACGGAAGACGGAGAGAGAGATAGAGAGAGAGAGAGAGAGAGAAATGGGGTTTAACGTCCACTCGACACAAACTAGGTCATTTGAGTAGTAACACATGGTTCAATTTTATTTCAATATTTCGCTTGCGCGTAGGGGTCTTTAGCAGTGGGAGGAAACCGGAGGACCCGGAGAAAACCCACGAGGCTGGACAGGCGACCCTACTCCTTGTCACGTACAACCGGGGATTCGAAACCACGCCAGTTGACTCAATGACAGGTCGTATGATACAGCACGCACGTGCTAACCATTCGGCAATCCAACCCCCCAACGGAAGACGGGTTATCGTTATAATCCAGCCAATATTGTTACAATGTTATTCTTGTTATGTGTTCAATTTTTATAATAACATGAAATTGAACAAATAATAATAACATTAATAATAATAACATGAAATTGAACAACTAATAACATTAAAATGGTATTATTATTTGTTCAATTTCATGTTATTATAATTGTTCAATTTAATTTTATTATTATATGTATGTTATTATTATTTGTTCAATTTAATGTTATTAATTGTTCAATTTAATGTTATCATTAATTGTTCTATTTAATGTTATCATTTAATGTTCATGTTATTATTATTGTTCAATTTAATGTTATTATTATTTGTTCAATTTAATGTTATCATTAATTGTTCAATTTAATGTTATCATTAATTATTTGTTGATGTTATTATTATTGTTGAATTTAATATTATTATTACTTATTTAAGCACCTACTGAGAGTACAGTTACTGAGACTACAGTAATGTATACCACAACAAAAGGTTAGTGTTAATATCATCAATAATAAAACGTGTTGACTTGATGCCATACAGGGGGGTGGGGGGTGGGGGAGGTGTCTGAATGGTTAGCATAAAGTCTGTCATTGAGTCAACTGGCGTGGTTTCGAATCCCTGGTTGTACGTGACAAGGAGAAGGGTCGCCTGTCCAACCTCGTGGGTTTTCTCCGGGTCCTCCGGTTTCCTCCTACTGCTAAAAGACCCCCAGCGCAAGCGAATTATGGAAAGAAAATTGAACCATGTGTTAGTCCCGAAATAACCTAGTTTGTGTCGAGTGGACGTTAAACCCCCCATTTCTCTATCCCTCTCTTTTATGCCATACGACATTTTGATTGAGTTTCCTGACTATTTCATACCGTTTGTTAACTTTGTAAAAAAGTGAACATTGACTATACTTGCTGAAAGTAATGGAGTTAAGAATTTCGTCAATATAGGCTTTGAGACCAACAAAATTGTATTTCCTGTGGCAATCTGATTTAAACACAGATGCTATTTCATTTCCTTTTTTATAGTTCAAAATTTTGTTTTACTTGTCTTTACTACACTACCCGCGTTTTGGTTGATGTGAGGGATTAGCCAATGAAACGGTCTGTTGCAGCGAATTCTTGGCGTGCGATAGACGGAACTGTGGGTATCCTACTAAAAACATCACAGCTAATTGGTTAATCACATGTCTGACGTCATAGGATCAACATCCGCTCGCAAGACCCCTGACGCGACCTCCCACTACGACTGGTCAGATATTGATGTAGTAGAGGACATCGAAAATATAAAGAACGAAACGAAATATAGATCTGTATTTTAATCAGATAGTTCGGGTGGTACTATAGCGCAATTCAAACTGTCACGCATTTTTCTTACACTTAGAGATTTTTGTTGATAACCTGCATATGTAATGTTAAGCTATCCCACACCTTGACTCCTCGACAGACTATGATGAGAGAGAGAGAGAGAAAGAAAGAGAGAGAGACAGAGAGGGAGAGAAAGAGAGAGGGAGAGAGAGAGAGAGAGAGAGAGAGATGGGGCTTCACGCCTACTCGATACAAACCAGGCCATTTCTGGACTAACACATAGTTCAATTTTATTTCAATAATTCCCTTGCGCTTGTAGCAGTGGGGGGAAAACGGAGGACCCAGGGAAAACCCACGCGGTTGGACAGGCGACCATACTCTCCATGTCACGTACAATCTGGGAATCGAACCACGCCAGTTGACCCAAGGACAAACCTTATGATACAGCGCGCGCGTGCTAACCATTCGGCCATCCAACCCCCTAGACTATGATTAAGGAGCCAGCGAAGGCCAGTGTCAACTCATGTATATGATGATATTAAAAGGCGACAAATGTCTGCTACTAATGGAGGATCAAGAAAGTAAGTCCATTTTTTTGTATGCGATATCACCTCGATGGAAGCGGACGTAAGCTCATACTAAGCTATCATGTTTATTTTCTATGTAGAAAGCAGCGTCTCCAGTACAAGAGTTACATCAGATGTGGTGTCTATATTGTTGATATCTGTAGGGGTTGTTGCTGGACTGTGTGTAATCGGTGTGCTAGCTGCATTCCTCTACTTAAAATACACTAAAGATGTAAGTTATAACGAGAGAAAGAGAGAGAGGGGGGGGGGGTAACGTCCACTCGGCACAAACTAGAGGT